ATTTAGGCTTTGCTTTGCTATAATGCCAATTGATGCTGACTTCCTCAACCAAATACGTATTGCAATTTTTGGAGATTCTGTTACCTTTGATATCATGCAACATAAATAATAATAAGTTTAAGGTGAAAGGAGATCTTTTATACTTTGAAGAGTGGTTGTATATTTCAAAGGGACCAGCACAACTTTGAGTTCTCCAATCTTGAGACAATTTTTCAACTTCGAGACATTTTGGATTCAATAAGACCTTGGAACTTATTTCTTGAGATTTTTGGTGGCTCCAAATGTGGAATGATGTCAAGAATTTTATCCTCTCTTGTGACATTTGTTCAAGATCCAAGAACCCTCCGCATCATTCTTATAGTCTTCTTCAGCCATTGCCTATTCCACGTTGGCCATGATCTTCAGTTTCCATGGACTTCATTATGGACTTGTCACCATCAAATTCATTTGATAGCATCTTTGTTGTAGTAGATCGGCTTAGAAAGATAGCACACTTTGTTCCTTGCAAAAAAACATCATCAAGGAAAGACACAGCAAGGCTGTTTATTGATAGTGTGTATCGATATCATGGTTTACGAGATGATATTATGTCGGATCGAAGAACCCACTTCGTATCAAAGTACTGGAGATCTTTCTTTGAGATATTGAAGGTAGATATCAAGCTTTCTTTGACTGTCCATCCTCAAATTGACGGCCCAACGAAACGGGTGAATCAAACTTTGGAGTAGTATTTACGATGCAGTATCAACTATCAACAAGATGATTGGACTCCATATCTATCGTTAGTCGAGTTTGCATATAACAACACCTTTCCTGTGTCGACTCAACAAACACCATTCTTTTTCAACTATGGGTATCATCCAAAGCTTGATTTGTTGAGTCCGTCAACCAATAACAATCTGGTAGCTGAAGGATTTGTGAAACAACTATCAGAGCTTCAAACTACATTAAAACTTCAATTGCAAACTGCCTAAGAAGCTTAAAAGGCGTCCACAGATAAATTTTGGAATCAGGCACTTACTTTCAAAATTGGAGATAAAGTATGGCTGCTTCAATGGAATATCAAAACAAAGCGGCCATGTGATAATTTGGACTACCGGAGATTGGGACCATTTGTCATCTTGAAGCAAATCAATCTAGTGGTGTACCATTTGGGATTACCGGCTGCCATAAAGGTACACTTAGTCTTTCATGTTTTTTTGTTGGAACCTTATCGAGAGTCATCTTTTCCTGGAATGAATGCATCGCAAAAAGTACAGGAGTTTCATCGATGTTATCCTTAGAAACTTAAGCCCTTTCGATGAAAGTTTTTTAGTGAAGTTCCTTCTCTTTGAAGCCTCTTAATCCTCGGCCTTACAAAGAAGGGAAAAAAAGAACCTCTACAAGATATAGTTAGAGACTATAAATCTGTAACATGAGCCCATTCTTCTATGTTTAGTGCTTATATTTTTTGGTGTGATATGGATAGCCAAGAGATAGATATCATACTAGTTATGTCTTCTCAACCAAATATCTCACGAAGACAACCCGGAGATGAAGAACCGCCTATATCACAAAGACAACGGAGGATACCTAGTAATAGGTCACTAGTGATTGTATTTGAGGTAGATTCTGCATATGGTGATCTTCTCGAAGGAGTGTTTGTAGGGCATTTTTACAATGAAGACATGGAAGTTCATGCTTGGTTGAAAATCAAAGGCATAGGAAACTATCGTTGGTTACAAGGACCAATGAACTACTTGTCGCGCGAACAACAATTGGAATATATTGCAGATACTATGCGAAAAATTTTCAACTTCTTACCTTGGTACTGACTCACAATAGGAGTACTTCTTGGAGATCTCGAAGCTAAAGGGAGGGAGGTGATGTCAATGACATACATTAAAAAGTTCTAGGAGATTTTAGAAGGTTCTAGAGAAGCTTTGTGGTTTGTTGAAGCTGCTTGAGAAGCTTTCTAACTCGTGGAAGCTACTTGAGAAGCTGTCATGGACATACATTGGAAGATTCTTCAAATATTCTTCTAGAATATTCTCTAAAGATTCTCTAAAGATTCCTTTAGAAGGTTCTAAAAGATTCTTAGAATATTCCCTGAAGATTCTCTTAGAAGGTTCTAGAATATTCTTAGAAGGTTCTAGAATATTCTGATAGATTCTAGGAAGTTGCTCGAGAAGTTTCCTAATCAGTAGAAGTTGTTGGAGAAGGGTCCTAGTTAGCGGAAGTAGCTCGAGAAGCTTCCTATTCAGTAGTATATATAGGAGTCGAGGCTGAAGGGTTCTTCAGTCTCGACAAGACATCTCTTGGAGTTCTAGCTCACCTTTCTGGTGTTGTTCTTGTACTCATCTGTTTAACCTAGTTCTGCCACTTCTTCTTGAACTTCTTGTTAGATTTCAATTCTGTATTTTGTGTCCGTGACAGAAGCTTCTTAAGTTGTAGAAGGTGCTTGAGAAGCTTCCTAGTTTGTGGAAGCTACTTGAGAAGCTTCTTAGCTGGTAGTATATATAGGAGTTGAGACTGAGGGGATTCTCAGTCTCGATAACACATCTCTAGCTCATCTCTCTAGTGTTGTTCTTGTACTTATTTGATTAATCTAGTTCTTGTCGATTCTTCTTGAGCTTCTTGTTTCTAGTTAGTATTCTAAATTCATGACACTTATTCCAAAAGCTACCAACACGTGGTTAACTTATTAGCCAAGTTTCTATCCTACAAATACATCTAAAGTCAAAACCTTGTCTATCAGGTTCTAAGAAACTTCTCTAGAAGACTTTATAAAATTAAACTATATTTACCTACTTCTATCTAATCATATAAATAACTATTGAGATAAATGTATATGTTTATGATAATACTTTACACTTCACATAAAATATATTTTTTTATATATATCTTTTAATTATTTTAAAATTATTATTATATCTATTACAATAAATTTATTCTTTTAAGGTAATTTTTAATATCATATATTCAAATTATTATTAAAAACTATATGCATTATAATATTTGATATGAATATATATATGTATATATATATATGCACGTATTAAAGAAAATATTAAAATGACTCATCCATTTACTAAACTGATCCACCCTATCATAGAAAATAAGAAGGGATCACAATAAAGAAGGTTGGAAATAAAGTGAGCAGGGTCTTTAGAAAAAGGGGATGGAGATGAAGGCCATGATTGTAATGATGGTTTTTGGAGATGATCAATTTTTCTAATGATGATTACGAAAGGGTGGATTGATTTAGTAAACAGGTGAGTAATTTAAACATTTATGTATATATATATATATATATATATTCATGGATCCTATCCCTACATATATGTGTGTGTATATATATATATATATATATATATATATATAATGTTAAATAATAATTTTTCTAATACCATTCGAATTTTTTGCAATTATCAATGCAAAATGATAATTCTTCTATGAAGACAATAAATTTTGCATCTTTTACTATTGCTTTGTACATGCTGCATTTCACTTCTAACTTTCATGGAATCAATGTTGTCAAGTTTCAATGTTGTTGAATTTGTGCTATCTTTTAGTGACTTATGTGAGTCATTTTTGTTGATGTGTTATAGTTTCTGTTTTTGATATCATAGCAATTATTGAAATTTTGATATTGTTAAAATATTATATTGCAATTTTCAAAAGTTGATTTCAACATATATTTCATGTATGATTGTGTTTAGAATGAATTTGGGATCACTGTGAGATAAGGAACCAACACCATAGTTGCAGTAGGAGATTCTGTGAAGAAAGACTCTCTGGAAGAAGAGAACTCTGTAGCTGAAGTAAATGGACATTTATGAACTGGAAATTGCAATGCTCTGAGAAAATGGGTAGCTTACGGACGCAGCTTTCACTTCAAAATTTACCTTTCCAGAGTATACGTAGAACTACGTGAACTCATGACATTCAAAAAAACCTTCACACAAAAAAGCCCTTCTACACCATGTAATGAAACCTTCAGGCTATGAGACACAGATGTAAACTGGCCCATTAGTGTGCCCGAAAAGATTCCCTTTTGTCAACAATCAAGGAAACCAATACAAACTGATCAAACTTGTAAATATAGCACAACCGGAACAGAAATATCAAAAAGTACACGCCACTGAATACTTTCTTTTTATCACCAACAATCTCTAGGCAAAATAATCCCCTCTTTAATTCCCATACATTGAATTGAGTGAACTGCTTCAGCAAAGCCAAAAAATTGATGACATGATTAGATCTAAACAAACCCTCCATGAACAAGAATGCGACGGGCGATTCAACTGAGCTTGGGGACTCGGTAACTTGGTGGCTTGCGACGGGCCCCTTGCGGTATGGGACGATGCCCTGCTGCAATCACAACGACACCACGCAACAGCTAGTGTTAACCAGGGAGGGAATCTGTGTATGACACGCCAAGGCAAGAGGAAGACAGGTCGGCCTGCCCGACCAAGAGTGAAGTGAACAAGGTCCCCAGGAACCAGCGCGGGAGTTATCTCCGGCCAAATCGGCGGAGAGAGAGGGAGGAGGAGTGTGGAGGAGTGTGGGAAAGGGTGGAACCCCAAATGTCCCTAAGGCCAAAAAAAAAAAAACGGGCGGGGGGCGGCCCCGGAAACCCGAGGGCCCCCCCCCCCGGGGGGGGGGGGGGGGGGGGGATCAAAGGGGGGAACTGGAAGGTGGAGGGGGAGGGAGTCCCCCACATGTGTGGAGGGGGGGGAGCCTTTGTCAAACCCAACTTTTTTACTCCTCCCTTTTCCACCTTTCCCCCACCCCCCTCCCGCACTCTTTTTTTGCTCCCCGCTGCTGCTGCTGCTGCTGCTGCTGCGGTGCCGGAAGTCCCACCCGCCCGCCTTTCCCCCTCCCCCATCCATTTTTTTTTTTGGGGGGGATTGGCTGCCCCAATTCGCTCCTTTCCTTTTTGGCCTTTTCGCCACCGGCTTTACACCCCGCCCGTTTTTCCAAGGTTTGCCCCCCCCCCCCCCCTGTCTCCCTTGTGTTGTTTCGATTAGTGTATGATTTTCCAAGCATCACGGAACTTGCGATATTGTACAGTTATGGCTGCGCCTCAACCTATCTGCAGTCGTCTGGCTGCCTTTCTATTCGAAATCGTTGAGATCATTTGATGCCCCTCTAGCTGTAGTATTTTGGAGTGTGCGCCGTTTCTTCTGCTGGTTCCTGGTCAAGTTTGCTGGACTTGGTTCCAAAGTTTACAGTACGCTTCTCTTCCTTCTGATACCTCCACAGTAAAACCTAGTTTCTTTAAAGAAATATTTGAGTTCAATATTTTCTTTTGTAGTTTGTAGAGTGTTGTATTATGCTTGAGTGTGGTATGGTCGAATCTAATTTTTTGGTTTATCTTGCTCCAATTTATTAGAAGCGAAAGTGATGCAAGTATATGCAGAGAATTGTGCTCTAGGTGTAGCTGTTTGTTATCTTCTCTGGAACGTGAAAGATTTAATATTAGAAAGATCATAGGTTAAATGTAATGGATGTATTGGAATCCTTTCCTTCAATGTGAAAGACATCTGCGTGATTTCACTTCGACCAGTACACTATCGGTGTCTATGTCGTGATGAAATTCTCTAGCTGGAATCCACTACAATTTCGGTATGCGTAAATTGTGAATTTTCCTTCAAGATGTGTTTGTTGCAGTAATGGGGCTGATGGTATTGCCGAGCATAACTTTCTACAGGTAGAAACGGATATTTCAA